GATGGTTAGATAGATAGATGGTTAGATAGATAGATGGTTAGATAGATAGATTGCTAGATAGATAGATGGTTAGATAGATAGATGGTTAGACAGATAGATGGTTAGACAGATAGATGGTTAGACAGATAGATGGTTAGATAGATAGATGGTTAGATAGATAGATAGTTAGATAGATAGATGGACGGACGGAGAGGTAGGTAAGTAGATGGACGGACGGCGAGATAGGTAGGTGGATGGACGGACGGAGAGATAGGTAGGTGGATGGATGGGTAGATAGATGGATGGGTAGATAGAAGGATGGGTAGATAGATGGTGGTTGGATAGACAGATGGATGAATAAAATGATGGATGGATAGATGGATGTATAGAGAGATGGGCGTATAGAGAGATTGGTAGATGGATAAATAGGTGGGTGGTTGGATAGACAGATGGATGAACAAAAGGATAGGTAGATGGCTATATATATGGGTGGGTGGGTGGATGGATGGATAGATGGTGGTTGGATAGACAGATGGATGAATAAAATGATAGATAGATGGGTAGGTAGGGAGATGGATGGATAGAGGGGTGGGTGGATAGAGGGGTGGGTGGATAGAGGGGTGGATGGATAGATGGGGTGGATGGATAGATGGGTGGGTGTGTGGATAGACAAATACATGAATAAAAGGATAGATAGATAGATAGATAGATAGATAGATAGATATGGGATAGATAGATAGATATATAGATAGATAGATATGGGATAGATAGATATGGGATAGATAGATAGATAGATAGATAGATAGATAGATAGATAGATAGATAGATAGATAGATAGATAGATGGATGGATAGGATGATTAGCTTTTTTTTGATATGCTTAACTCTTTATTTGGCTCATCAAAAAATTCAGATGAGCACCCCTTCACTTCTAGTCTATCTGGTGTGTGGAGGGAGAGGCATTTTGCATGTCTCAGTGCCGCTCAGGTTGCTTGTTGCCCACACCATGTATAGAATACAAACTAAAAGACTGGAAGTGATCAGTATCCCCGGTCTACATAACAGTGGAAGGGTCCCCAGTACCTGGCCAAGGTACATCTAGTATAAATGTGCCTCTAACCCCACAGGGCCCCTGTGCAGCTGCACATTCTACACAATCAGTGGTAGGTCAGCCCCCGGCGTATCAACTCTGTGTACTTGTTGTTGGAAACATTCCATGTCACCTTTGTGTGTTTTACATCCTTTGTACAGCCCCACAAGACGTAATGGTGCTAACACAAGCAAAGTGGGTGCATGCATTGTGTTAAAAAGTAGTTTTCATGAAGGAAGACCGTATCTCATGTACAGCGAGGCATCTCTAGTTAATACGGATGACTAAACTTTTTATACTTGATGTAAAACTGAACTGTACCTCTGTTTTGTTGACAGGGGGCGCCGCTGAGCAGGCTGGAAGAATAGAAGCAGGCGATGAAATCCTTTCCATTGGTGGAAAAGCCTTGATTGGCCTCATGCACTATGACGCCTGGAATATCATTAAGTCGGTCCCGGAGGGACCTGTGCAGTTACTGATCAGGAAGCACAGGACTGCAGTATGAGGAGCAAACCTCAGCGTTTCTGATGACTTCTCTATTATACAGACACTGCAACTCTTTCTGGCTCTGTCCATAGAGGAGAATGGTGGTTTTACTGTACAGGAGCTATATAGGTCTGCGATATGACTGACCAACATAGCTGTGGTGCTAAGGAAGAACATGCGTTACATTATGCAGTGAGAACATTACCAGAGCCAGAAAAGTTTTATTTTGATCTACATCTACCCGTGCAGTACTTACATTCAGTGTCATTCACTATATTGGTGATTCGAGGGGAAAACCTTCCAATCAAGCGCCAAGATGTCAGCTATCTGCTAAATCAACATTTTGGCGAATGCGTCCTCACAGCTAATTGAAAGCATCTCATGTTACTAAAACAGTTGATGGGCTGCTTTTTTTTGCAGTCAATGAACAAAACCTGTTGAGTGGAAATAGAGTTTAAGGGATACATTGCATTTGTATGGCCATAATCAAGGGGAGTATGCAACTGGTGGGGATTGGCTATAACCGTTTAGCAGCTGATGGGCAGCTATTTTTCAGCCAGTTGTAAAACTAAAGGTGACCATACACCTTACAACCATCTCACAACTTTCGCTGTGCGATGGTTGTAAGGTGATTCAAATTCCGTACGAACTGCCCATCATGGACAGACAGATCGTACTTGCGATCATCGCAAGTCCTCCCCGCTGAGGGGAGGGCTTACAGATGATTGCAATGGTGAGCGGGCAGTGTGCACGATTTTCGGTGGGTTCTCTAGCGTGCTCTTAAGACGAAAGTCGTGCGACCTTACAGTATATGCGGTCGCACTCTGCCCATACACCTGACGATTATCGTATGATTACGGTATCACCCGCGATTATTGTACGATAATCGTCAGGTGTATGGCCAACTTTAGAGTTGCTTTCTGTCATCTGCTGATGCTTTCTGTCATCTGCTGATGCTTTCTGTCATCTGCTGAGTGGAAATAGTTGTTAAGGGATAAACTGCATCTGTCTCAAGAGACGACTGTGCTGTAATCAGGAGAAATATGCAGGTAGGTCCTGAACAAGTTTTGTCTTGGCGGGACAGATATTGCTCACTGCTGTTAAGCTTGGCTGCACATAAATGAAATATTGCGGGGTAGAAATAGCTTCAGCTTTTTGTGAATAGGAGAAAAGGAATGCCCATTGAGCCTGTTTTATAGTTATATATATAGAGAGAGATATCCATGTATAGATATCTCTATAGCTATATAGAAAACCCGTCTTTAACGGCTGTCAGTATCCAAAATAATTGAGTGACTAGCGCCACCCCCTGGCCAGTTTGCTGTATTGTGGGTGATCACTTTTCTACCAATCCTTCACCATTCCCCGTAATCTATTCGCTGTATGTATGTGTTTTATATAAGAGCACTAATCTACAATCACCCCAAATAGTTTTATTTTAAAGAGAAAACAACAAAGAAGTGGCGATAGTTCTAACAGGTTGAGTATAATGTCCAGTAATCTATTTTTTACATAGTAGCATCTCACCTCTCTAGCCATGACCTCAAGTAAAACCTCTGTGATAAGACAGATTCCACCTATAAAGGTGGACAATAGAGAGCAGGGGTGATGCACGCAGGTCAGTAACCAATCAGAGTGGACCTTATGAAATTTGGTGAGATGCGGTTGTGGTTTCATACTGCGCTGTCCACGTTCTATGCCTTATATAAGACTGACAGTGTTACAGGGTGATGATATTTTCTTCTTGTAAATGTAAAGACGTTGCTAGAATATTTTTCCTAATAGAAAAAAAAAAGTTTAAACTCATCAACTTAAAATATTTTTTAATATAGAGGAAATATTTAACAGGTTTTGCACCATTTTAAGGAGATTCTTTAGGAATCGAACTCCTTCCACTTGGTGGGCTGTCCAGGGATTTATAGCCCTCAGTTCATGAACTAGTGGAGGAGCTGAGGGCTTTGTAAGGTCTAAATCATGTTGAGACAAATTGGATTTAATAAGGAATGCTCCCCTAAGACCAAATAGGTGTCCATGACCTCATCCGCTAGAGGTCATCTGCCCGGCTGATTTCAGATAAGGTATCGGGTAGCACACAGCCCTCGGTTAATTTTCTGATGGCTGTAAAAGGTAAATGGGTGATACTTTCATTGGAACAAAAAATGCCATTGAAATGGAAATTCCTATCTTCTTTTGACTTCTTATTATAGTAGCATTAAAGGATCCCTCTTTTTCCTACAGCTCCCCCGTAGACAGCAGAAGAACCATCTCCATTGCTCAGAAGAATACATTTTCAATACCGTGCGTTTACAGAACTTTGTTTAAAGGGAACTTGTCATGAAACTAAATGTCTGTCTCAGGGGGAGTTGAAGGCTCAACGATCCATTCTGGTTCCTATGTAATGCATCTGAACCCATTTAATGTAACACTAAGGGATGTCACTACTGAAGGACTAGTATATGGTCCATGAGTCAGTGTACCTGCCACTTCCATAAGTATATTCAACAAACATTCTGCTTCAACCATTTCACTGTGTTCAAAGGGAGTTCCTGAAACCTGGGAACAACCTTTGCACCAGCTCATCTGCAGCTCTCCCACACTTCTCCACCATGTAATAGACCGATGCGGGTGTCTATGTGGAGATGAAGCACTTGCACTGGATAGGAGGGAGGGAGAGAAGGAGGAGCATGGCAGGCCTCTGAGTTGGAGATAGTTAAGGATTCCAGGGTGAATGTGCTTGGACTTCATTGGCTCCCCAGCCATATAGAGGAAGCATTGAGCAAGTGAAAGGGTATAAGCAAAGACCACTCACTGCCTGATCCTCAGTGCTGGCATTCGAACAAGGAAAGCTGTCATGAGAGAAATATGGCAAGCTATGTCAGTTGTCCTCCTGCATATGCTGGTGAAAGTAACAGGTTTATCTAACCAGAGGGACTGCAGTACCAGATGTCACCAGCAGTGGCAGCACCTCCTGCAGGACAATATAGAAATGCAGCCTCTGATAAGGTAAAGACCCAGGAATTTCCAGTGGGGTAACCCTAAACATGGAGGGGTCAGATACAGAATAGGTATGTCTACTAAAACTGGATGTTATGCCATACAATGAGGTATTTGTATCTATAGCCTTCAGTCCCAAATTCTCTGAATGATTTAGCCACTATAGTCATCTCACTATGTGTCTCTTGTATTGTAATGTATGGTCCATATATTCCTTATGTGTGTTGCCTATGGCCAGTCTAAGCCGACTCCTTGTTCATATGTCTGCCATGGGACATTTATTGCCTGAGGTTAGATGAGTGATGGATCACATAGGTTATAATAATGTCCCAGCCACTCCCACAGATGAATTTTACCCTTCCGTCTTAGCTCCAGTGTCATTATGTACTTGTATGATATAGCTTGTATTTAGTTTCTTGATTGGCCCAATACTCTTACTGACTGCACCAATGGACCTGCTTTAGGGTCAGCAAGGTTTTGTGGGCAATCAGCCAGTATATCCAACCCTATGGTCCTGAATCAAGTATGGGTTACCTTAAAGCCCCCTATGCTCTCATAAAATGGCTCCCCGACTCAAGTGCAAGTTTCAGGGCAGTGCCTCAATGAGGAAGGTTACCAACAATGGCCCATTGGTCAGGGATTTGGCCGAATACTCTGACTTGACTGCACTAACGGAACTGCTTTAGGATCAGCAAGGTTTTGGCGCAATCAGCCAGTATATCCAACCCTATGGTCCTGAATAAAGTATGGATTACCTTAAAGCCACCTGTGCTCTAATATAATGGCTCCCCGACTCACATTTCAGGGCAATGGCTCAAAGAAGAAGGTTACCAGCAATGGTCCGTTGGTCAGGGATTTATATCTGATATTTTGGTTGAGCTCCAGTGGATTAAATCACCTGACCGCTCCTTTTATGTTCTGGGTACTCCATTGGAGAGTCTTCCCACAGTGGTGTTCATCTGTGCCCCTTCAACAAGGCCATACCATAGATTTCTAGCAGCTGTGCTCCCCAAGTTCTACACCCATCAAGGGTGGAATACCAGCACATGGAATACCAGCACTTGGCTTTGCAAAGGCTGCTGCAGTTCTCGGAATTCTGACGGGGGGGCCTCTTGCCAACAGAGTTCTCAAAAGATAAAAGAAGCCAGCATATGATCTGTTCTGATAAATCCCCCTTAGTGACTAGCTTTCCATTGCACATAGGTAAACTAGAAGCAGAGCTATAATCGGTTCTCAGTCAGCACTTATTGGAGAACATTTTATCCAGAATATCACATGGAGAGACGGTGTGGATTATGAGTAACGTTGGGTTTTATCTCAAAAGATACATTTACTATTAGCGTTCTGAATATTCCACTTATGCGATCAGAAATGGCAGCCCGCCAACCAAGATGGCACAGCCAAGGAACAATGTCACAGATATGTCAATGAGTCTTGATACATTTCCTCCAAATGGCTATGGCGGCATTGCTTTCCCTAGGTGGTGGCCCAATGATTGACCGTTCAAGCAAGAGACTTTTTTTTTAATGTTCAACTTGAAGTTATCATCATTTAAACTATTTATTAATGACAGGAAATAACAAACGATGAATTGTGCCCTGCATTAGGAACATGAAGTGTGTACCACGTAGTGAAATATATTTCCTCCTCACTAGTCACAGATTTGTTGTATGATTGGATCTGCCATAATCACTGTTGTATTATATTGTATATTTTGTTTATATAACTCTGTTCATCAGAGATGCCTTGTACATGACACAAAACAAATGCGTGAAATAACACAAAATAGACTGTACATTTTTATTGCTGCTTTTCCTCAGCTATGTAAATCAGATATTGTATCTCGTTTTAAGTAGTTTTTGCAAAAAATAAAAAATGAAAACACTCTGGACTTTTCTTTCTCATTTTGTGCGTACAGATAAGTTGATGGGTTACCACTGAGCAAGACTTCCATCTACTGGACTGAAGCGGCATTCTGTAAAGCCCTGGTGCCCAACATGCGGAACTTCGGCACTTTTTTTGTGGCCCTCAAGGCAGTAGTCTGTGTATCCCTTACCCTGCTAGCA